ACCTCGGGATGAGGAATGGACGTGATCAGACTTGTCTAAAGGACATGGCCGCATCAGGGTGATGCCTATTACATAGCTATTGATTCTATAGGCTATTTTACCCACTACGCCGTTTTCCACGTTGTGGGCGATTTCCACAGCTAGCAATGGGCGGTCAACCAAAAGACAGACAAATCTAACTTTCATCTATCCAACGTCTTATAGCGTTTTTGAACAGCGCTCTTTGCTCCAACAACACTTCATACCTTCTCGACTAGGGCCCACGCATTTCCTCACCTACGAATAGTAGCAATCTTATGGGCCCATCTGAGATGCTGCGTTAACACCGATCTATTTAGTGTTTATGTACCGTAATTTCAGAACCTTATGCGGTGGTATGTGTGGAGTTTTTATGTGTGGATACTTCTTGCCATTCTGCAATTCAAAAGGTCTGTGGTAAACTTTACTTCGCTTGCAATCAAGGCGGAGTTTTGGAAAGATTCAAGCCTTTCTATTTTCTGCAGTATTCTTCTTCTATTCTTTGTGTTCTTCTTTTTAAGGCGCATTGGCTGCGCTGTTTCTCACTACGTTATCATCGATCAGCCTATTCTTTCTGTTTGCATCGAACAATCCATTGCCAGCATTGAAGAATAGCTGCGTCGTTGAAATCGCAAGCAACTCCACAATACAGATTAGGTAAATGACCCAGTTTGCACTTCATTTTCTTCACTTATTCCTCGTAAATTTCCGGCAAGGAATGCTCTCAGAGTTAGTTCACTCAGAGTCTCTGATGATGCTATTGTCTAGACATCTCTTGTTTTGAATTAATCGTAGGCATTTAAGTTATTTACCAATGAACGCTATCGGAGGTAGAGGTGAAAGGCGACGTTGCACATCAAAAGTCGACTGCGGGGCACGTACCACAAAAAAATTGATCAATGTGCAATGCTTTTTGTGCTGAATTGCACCACCGTTCCTCATCCTTAAGGGGAACAGGAACGCTTTCACAATTCTCCGGACGGGAGACAGCACTGAAGAAGAATAAGCCTATAGCCCTAACGTTCTCAATGAAAGCATATTGATACAGTTGACGCGTCTCCTTTCAACTAAGGCTTTTAAAAAGAAACCGTTCGGTAAGCTTTGTGTTGCGCTGGTGGGAGTTGGCTAATTTTATAGTACAATGATCCAAACGGGAAACCTCGCGCTAAAGTTGGTTCTGTCAGGTGTAAGATCTTAGGTTATCTTCAACATCCCTGAAGTAAAGTCGTGACTCCAAGCGTCAAGAGTGGTTATGATGAAGGAGTGGAATGCGCTTTGAGAGTGATGAGTTCACCAGGAAGGGATGATGTGTCGAAGCAAAATAGAGCAGCGGTGGTGGTTCGGGCTCACAGGCGAGAGGGCGTAGGATTTATTCCGTGACGGAACTTTAGACTACAAATTCGCCCGTAAAGGTATTTTTATCTCAGGAACACGTATGCTGCAAAAATCTCCATTGAGAGTTCTGCGGGTTCGATGGTTAGCATGTGGCGCCCAGACTTGTTACGAAATCCTTGTTATGTACGGGTAGCTATGCATAACCCTAGGCAAAGTATCACAAAGCTTTTTTACCTATATGTCCGAGAAGGAAAAGGCAAACACTTGACAGGTTCTGGAACGAACATCTAGAATACAACTTATAGGTCGTTCAACATGGAAAAAATGATTGCAATCGCCTCACACATACCACTACAGGCACACACAGTCATTGCCTTTATGGTGAGTGAAGTCCATCTTTTCTCATAGAAGTTTACAGGGTGTCCCAAAATTACTTGCGCCTATTTATTGCATTGCCTTTCAAACTGATGGACACAGAATGATAATTGAATCTAAACATAATTATACTAACATTACACACAACATGCAACAACCAGATTTCAAAATGTCCTCCACCTGCACGAATACAGCCCGGAGTCGCTTGCATCCTTCGCACGTTGCACGCAGGTATCCTTATCAATTTTCCCAGGCTTCCTTCTGATGCTGCTTTCAATGATTGCAGATTCGTCTGACGAGCTGGAAATGCCTTGCCCTCAATCAAGAACACCCTAAGTGTTCAAGTGATTAAGATTAGGGGAGTAGATGACCATTTCTTGGGCGACGAGGTCGTGCCGCTCACAGCTCGCACCTGTCTCGAACGAGTTTACCTCTATAGGCTGTGGCACTGTCCTGCTGGAAACACCACGGCTTGCTCCCAAAGTGGAGAGTTGGATCAAGGCTTCAATACGTTCACTAAGTATGCACGTCCTTGCTGATCTTCACACATGAATCGGCGAAATTCAACGGCGTCTCACCATTGGCCGCGACTCACCCAATTCATTACTGATGCCGGTTAGCCGTTCTTCCAACAATCTTTCCTCGTGAGATGGCACTCCCGATATTTCTAGCTAGAATGTGATCGCTTTGGCTATTCAACACCGGCTCCACAGCGAATATTTTCTCGTCAGAAAAAACGATCGAGAGTTGCGTGTCGCCAGTGAAGCGCGCTAGTAACCTTCCAACTTTTTACCCTCTCTGCTTCTTGATGCAAACAGAATGAAGTGGCACTTCTGCATGTGACAGAATTGGAAGAGCTGCTTCTCCTCAACATTGTGCCCATGGAACACTTCGGTATGTTCAACAGCCTCGCCATCCTTTCGGTGGAGCACCGTTGTCTGGTAACTGAAGATTTCGATAATCCTATCCGTTGGGACGCCGACCATTCTTCCCTGTGCAGACTTGTTTATGAGTGTTCCTATTTTCCTTCGTCTTGTGAGGCTATCTGTACTGTGTTCAGGGGAACATTAGGATTACAATGTCCTATGATTTCTACCGGACAGTAAAAATTTGGAGGAGAAAAATATTGGGACACCCTGTGGGAATCTCATACACCAAACATACCCATTATTCCATCCCTCGTTTGCTAAAGTGCCTTGGCATGGCTAGTGTTTCTGTTAATATCCCGTCGCCTCCAGTAGAAAGAAGAGCAGTTATCAACGGATGGAGTCAATCCTTCCGCTCTCTGCGGGGAATTTACGGCTACGAAATCCATTTTTTCACTTTGAACCGTTCCTTGATCAAATTCCAGTGAAGAAGTCGCACTTCTGATTCAGGAGCTATCTTCGCAGGAATTGGCTCTGTAGTTCTGAGGAACAAAAAAGAGAATTTCTGAAAATGGAAGATTCATTCACAAACCTTGAAAACCTCCAAAATTTCTGGGCGACATGTCGATAGCCTTGAAAAGGACCTCCATGGACAGGACCGAGAGTGGCTGTGTGAAATCTGTTAGAGATCCTGAAATTTGGCTAATAGATTACTTTATATATGAACTTAGATATAAAAATCGCGTTGAAACTTGTGTTAATGAAATAGATAATGTTCACGATAGGGGGTTCAATTAGAATGGGTGGCGCTTCCGTGCAGAGGGCACGTCGTGATACGTCCAATGCCTGCAACGACGGTAGACCCTGCAAAGCAGGGTCAACCGTCGCTGCTCCCCACTGGCACTTTAAGCAGAGTGGATGAGCAAACCCATCTATGCTGCCAATTTAGTTCTTCCTTTCCTCTCAGCACTCTGTCTCCCCTTCATATCATAGCCGACCTCAGGAGGGAAAATTCAGTGTTTTTTATAGGCTTTTGGGTTTTCACTTACATTCCTCATCGCACTTCTTGTCTGATTTTTTAACAAAGTGACGCAACACTTCAATGCCGACAAGACGTTCAGAAAAGATTGACCTAGAGATCATTTCTTCACCCTC